CTCTGACCCTCCCCCCTCTCATGTGCTCTCTCTCTCTCATTCTCTCTGTCTCAAATAAATAAAAATTAAAAAAAAAAAAAAAGGTTCAAGCTATATGTTATGGGGGTTAGGCTAGGTAACATAAAAGCTTGTCTTCCAACTCTGATTAGATCTTTTTGGCTTATTTGAGGCCCACTGCATAGACTTATCTACTGAAAGGATTGAGGGTCTTAACTTTAAGTCTACAGCCATGCCACCCTAAATGTGCCTGATCTCATCTGATCTCGGGAGCTAAGCAGGGTCGGGCCTGGTTAGTACTTGGATGGGAGGTTCTTAACTTTAAAAGTAATACACAAAGGTTTTATGACCTCAAGAAATTTGAGAACCATTAGTTTATAGTAAACATAAGCTTTTTCTGTACTTTACAAAAAGAAAGTAATGTTGAATTTTCTGTTTTGAGAGAGTTGTGAGAGAGAGAGGGAGGTGGGGGGGAGAAGGAGAAAGAGAATCTTAAGCAGACTCAACACCCAGTGTGGAGTCTGATTCGGGCTAGATTTCACAACCCTGAGATCATGACCCGAGCTGATATCAAGAGTCTGGCCACCCAGGCGCCCCTCCCAACATTTTATTTATTATTAACTAATTCAGACATCTGAAATGAACTTCAGAGTAGTTAAGAGATATGATACCTGTCAGTCATCGTTTGAAAGTTAATTCCAGACTTGAATACTCTTAACTAGCATGTATTAATTAGACATGTACAATAGTGTCAATAGATGCTCCAAAAATACCACCATCACAATATTCTGCACAAAATTTCATTACCATTCAACTCTCAAAATAGAGAACATTCAACATTACTTTCTTTTCAAGCCCTGCACTGGTTCCATGCTGGGTGTGGAGCCTACTTTAAAAAAAAAAAAAAAAAGTATGGCATAACATATTTTTATCTGCAGGAATTAGAATAATACAGGAGTGTTCATTTTAATGTAAGTTAATGTAAGTTTAGTCTGTTAAAAAATCTGAACATCACCTGTCATATTCAAAACAAGATTACATCCCCAGCTTTTGTTTCAGATGATCTTTCTTATCTCTGTCAGCAATATCATCAGCACCTTTTTACTTGTTCTTATCTTTACCAATTGTTATGGGAGCAAAATGCCCCATTAGAAAAGGTGCCCCAAATATGTTTTTTTTATTTAAAGAGCTTTAGTTTCCTGATTCTAAATAACATTAGAGTTCATGGGTAATGTAAATTATATTATTTATTAAGCTGTCATATTAGAATAAATCTGTGAGTTATGAAAACTTGATGGAAGAAAATCCCTTATTCCCTATAGGCATTTAATGATTTGTGTGACTTTAGTTGCTGAGTAAAATGGAAACAAGTGCAATAAGTAAAGTCAATAATGATTATTAATTTCTCAGTTGGGGGAAAAGGTGTTTGCCTTTACATTTCTTCATATTATATAGATGGCATCATCTGTCATAAATTTCTCATACATTTTGTTTACTTTAGTCTTTGTTCCTTTTGTTACTTGGTTTTAATATAGCTATATTTTATAAGAACTTTTAGTATGATAATTTTAAGGAATTAGCCAGCAAATTTATCTCAAACCCATAAGAACAGCAAATTATAATTTATAAATGGCATTTTCTCTTTGCAGAGAGAAAATAAAATGGGAATATTTCATAAAAATAAGACCTTAGTCATTTCCTGATGTTACACTGGTTAAGATTGAAAAACTAGTGTGAAATTAGTTGCTATCTGACATATATTCTGTTTTAAAAACAAGAGTAAATGAGCAGATCATAGATTTGAATGCATGTTGATGTATGATTGGATAGATTGGCCTATTTAGCTATTTGACAAACACTGAGCATGTGCTGTATGCAGTGCTGGGTCCTGTGGGAGGAGTTAGAATTTCAAGATAATGAAGACATGGTACCCCCTTGAACTTAGGGAATCTTTGTTCTTTATGACTTAGGACACCAGTGACTTAGTAAAAGATACAAAAAAAATCTTAAGTTTGCAAGTGTTGTGACTAACATACCATACATGTGGGATCATTTAGATTTTAATCTCTAAATCTGATATCTAAGGAGGCTTTACAGGTAATCTTTGAAGGTTTAGGGCTGCTTGTAAAGGTGTAAATTTTTAATGACCTAGAAGTATTTGTTCTATACTTAAAGAAAGTGCAGCGGCCATTCTAGAGGACAGAGGTAAGGGGAGCTCTCATGGAAGGGGGAGAGAGGAGAATAGAAGAGAATTCTCTTAAGAATTTCCTTATAGGGCGCCTGAGTGGCTCAGTTGGTTAAGCGACTGCCTTCAGCTCAGGTCATGATCCTCGAGTCCCGGGATCGAGTCCCACGTCGGGCTCCCTGCTCAGCAGGGAGTCTGCTTCTCCCTCTGACCCTCCTCCCTCTCATGCTCTCTGTCTCTCATTCTCTCTCTCTCAAATAAATAAATAAAATCTTTAAAAAAAAAAAAAAAAAGAATTTCCTTATAGCTTTCTTCTTAGGGAGGCTGTAGAGCCCAGTATTTTGTCTGAGAGATAGGTCTGAGTTTACTAGTCTTGACGACAGTATTTTGAGCCCAGTGGGCACTTAACTTCAGGATCCTTTTGCTGAAGGATCTAGAATGTGCTCTCTCCAGTTATGGTAGTCACTAACCAGCTGTGACTTTAAATTTAAAGTAATTAAATATAAATAAAATTTAAAATTCACTTGCATTAGCCACATTTCAAGTGCTCAGTAGCTACATGTGGCTCATGGCTACCTCATTAGACAGTGTAGATATAGAACGTTTCCATCTTTTTGGAAAGTTCTTTTGCACGGCAATGATCTAGACAACAAAGTACATGAGAAAGATGTTAGAAGGTCTTTAGTTGTGTGGAGGAAATTAGTTTAGAATTGAAAAGAATATCTTCTTAGCTGAGATCTTTTAAGACTTTGAATGTGACATTAGGTGACACTGGAAACATTTCAGGCATTTAATTCTTCTACTTTTGTTCCCAAAGTAAAATAAACAAATTCTGTAGTTTCATTTCAGGATTATAAAAATTGGCATGTTTGACTCTCCAGATGATTCTGAAAGTTAGAATTTGTGATTTTTGATTTCATTGTGCAGTCTTCAACAAGATCTTATTTGTCCCTGTTAATTGATAAAGCCTCTGAAGTTCTGAGACTTTTTAGCTGTTTAGGTTAATCCTCATGTACTTCACCAATCTCTCAACCCTCACCTGGCTTTAGAAAGCAGCAAATGAATGTTTTTATGTTAGAAGAAGGTAGTTTCATTCTTTTGATCATTTCCCACTCCATTTTAGACATGTGAAAAAAATATTTGTAATATGGCAGTACTTTTTTAATGACTATATGGTAAAGATTAATAAAATCTGTCATTTTTTTTCCCCAAATGGAGATAACTTCATCATTTTTATTATGTAATATACTAATTAGAAAAAAATGGAAATAGAAAAATTGTGAAAGATCTCTCTTGATCTCAGTGGAAATCCTTCTAGTATGTTACCCTCAAGTCTGATAATGGCTATTTGTTTAAGGTATGTATGTCTTTTTAGTATTAGTAGTTTAAAGCAGAAAAACATGATTTCCGTAGATATCAAAAAGGCATTTGATTGTATTTAACGTCCAGTTTTGGTAATTTAAAAATCTCTTAACTAAAATACAAATAGATACTTCATTAAATATGACCAATTATATTAATAGATTTTTCTAATATTGAACTCTGTTTTCCTAAAATGAACCTTCTTTGGTCATGGTGTACTACTATTTTCATAAGCTACTTGATTCTTTTTTTTTTTAAGATTTTATTTATTTGACAGAGAGAGTACAGTCAGGGGGAGCGGCAGGCAGAGGGAGAAGCAGACTCCCCACTGAGTAGGGAGCCTGATGTGGGGCTTGATTCCAGGACCCTGGGATCATGACCTGAGCTGAAGACAGAGCTAAACCGACTGAGCCACCCAGGCGCCCCGAGTTACTTGATTCTTATTGCTAATATTTATTTAAAAAAATAGATTGTGTATCTTTTTTTCTTTTTGTGTTGTCTTACCAGATTTTGGTTATCACTAAAAGAATTGAGGAACTGTCCTTAGTCTGTTTCTTGGAACAACTTAAGAAGCTTGGGACTTACCTGTTCCTTTAAGGTTCATCTTCTTGTTTGAGCTGTGGTGCTTCTGTAGGTTGTAATTCTTTGCAGCTTTCTTAAATTCTTCTATATAGGGATTGATTTATTTGTAACTTCAAATTTATCTGTGTAGAGTTACATCATTATTTCTTCTGTATCTATGATTATAAATTCTTATATATCCTTAATTTTGTTTTTGTGTTTTCTTAGACTAGCTGATGTTTTATGTATTTTATGTTTAAAGAACTAATTCTTTATTTTTAAGTTTTTCTGATTCAGGTTCTATTTTTATCATTATGAATTCCTCTCCTAAAGGATTATTGATATCCAAGTGATTTTTCTCCTTAGATATGAAGTGAAGTGAGAAGTGAAAATTGCCTGTAGTGGTGTAGGCTTCCTACTTCTATAAAATTGCAACACTTAAATGTAATAGGTACTTACTTAAGTAGAAATTATTACGATTCCAGAATATTGCTGTGACTGACCAGTTGCAGGCCATAGCTTTTCCTTTCTTTGCATCATGGTTTTGTTGAAAGCATATTTTTAAAGAATTAGTGTATAGTGTTGATGTTTTTAATAAAATTTTCCCATTTAGAATCTTGGCATCTTCAGGCAGTATTTTAACTTCATGTATACTAACAACTCAAGCTTGCATAGGTCCTACTTCTCTACTTACGGATCACTAGTTCACAGTAAAGTGAGTGGTGGTGGGTAGGTTTTAATAACACTTTAGAATATAAAACTAAACTATATTTAGTTAGCATTAATCAACTGATACATTTCTATTTGTTCAAATATTCCTTTTGTGTTAATATCATATATTTTATTATAAAATGTTTCTTTAAGACTAAATTTAAGTACTTGTCTTTCTTTGTAGGTATAAGCGTGTCTTTTCAGTTGGAACCCATGCGATTACTACATATAATCCCAATACCTTAGAAGTAACAAATCAGGTAATCATGTTAGAAGCTGTTAGGCATTTTTTGAACTCCATTTGAATTTTAAAAGCCAGGTAATGACCCATGATTTCCTTGGCCTGAAATCAGTATTTTAGGTAGAAAAGTCAACTTTGAAAGAGATCGATACGCTTATAGAATACTTCATGCCGAGTACCAAAAATAAGTAAATAAAAGAGGGTGGTGACAAATGTTTTTTTCTAGGCTCTAAGTATAATAACTTTTTGATATGTTGCTTTTGATTTAGCCATCTCTTTTATGTAAATTGGTGCATTAGTTCTTTATAATTTTAAAGACTATAGGAACTGCAATAAAGGCATACATAAATTAAGTCACAGTGCAGTGGTTGGAAAATACTTGTCATAGAAGTAGGATTACTGTTTATAAAGGCAAAACCAACTTGAATATGGATAAGTAAACAAAATTAAATATTTTCTAGCTTATTTTTAATTCTAAATTAGTCATGTTTTACAGATTCCTTTTTGTCTGTTTTAACAGATCTGTAGGTAATCATAAAATTTTATTCCTCGCTTCTTTTCACTTTTATGTATTTTAATTGCTTTGGATTCGTCATTAATCATTAAAATTGGAATACAGGTGGGATTTTTATTGTTGTCTCTGATAACTGAAAACCTTTAAAAGAATTTGTTATGGAATTACTATAAGATATAACATCTTCTAGGCCTCTGTATTATTTTGTAAGATTTTTCTCATTTAATCCGTGATTGTGAAATTAAAGTAGTAAAAATAGTATTTAATACAGCATCAGTTGGAAGAATTTTTCTTTTTGTTAGTGGCCTTATGGAGACATTTGCAGCATCAGTCCCGTTGGAAAAGGACAAGGAACAGAATTCAACCTCACATTTCGTAAAGGCAGTGGGAAAAAGTCAGAAACTTTAAAATTTTCTACAGAGCACAGAACAGAACTTCTTACAGAAGCATTGGTAAGAACAGTTCCATGTTAATAAGCTAAATTTCTTTTTTTTTTTTTAAATGAAACCGTTACATTAAAGTACAGATGTTAATGTTCTGAGCTTTTTTTCCCACACTGCTTATTTTTTCTTATTGACTGTTAACTTGATTCTGTGAAACTTTCACTTTCTCTAACTGAAAAATCTATTTAATTAGCGTTTAGACTTTGTAAGCGCATATACAGAGCAGAGCAGTTGTATGTCTAATCTGTCTTGTTTTTCAGTGAAGTTCCACACATTTTTTATTGAACAGTCTTAAACTATAACATCAATAATATTTAATATCAAGGTTATCAAGTTGAGATTTTACATGTTTTAGATAGAAAAGACTGAACCGTGAGTCTTCCTTACCAGTCTATTGTCATAAACTGTGATTGTTTTCTCTTTCAGAGATTTAGAACTGATTTCTCAGAAGGAAAAATCACAGGAAGGGCAAGTATTTGACCTTATTAATACCTGTTTCTATTCTAATGTTGCCCATTATTATAGAAATCATTTTGTGATCCGTGTGCTTCTTTTACGGCAAAGCTAAAGGGGAAAAAAGGAATTATCGTTTAATGTTTTGTGGCACTATGTGAGAGATGAATGTAGTTTAATAGCAAACTCCAACATGAGGAATTAGATTTATGACTGTTAATGTTGATGGTTGGAGAAGAAGTTTTCAGGCAGACCTATGGAACATTAAAACCGATGCTATAACCATTCAGGTGCTCTTTATTCAATATTCTAAACAGCAACAGTAAGCATCACACTGTGGATAATACCTGTTGGAACATGCACTAGTTGTTTGGTGTAGGATTTTCCTATTTCAGAAGTATTAAGGTTTTAAGAAGTTTGGGGTATATCAAAACTGTCTTATATTTTCTTGCACTGGATCTGGCTGCTAGTAAGGCTTTGCATGGTGCACTGGCAGCTTTGGGGAAGTCACGGGTGCTTATTAGAATCTTCATAACTTTCTCAGGCGTTCTCTAGTCATGTTACAATAGCATTTAAACTAAATCAGAGACTTCTGACGAGGGGAGATGGGAGTTTATGCTTTTTTCACTCCCTTGAAATACCAAATTTCTTTCCATGAGAAGGTATTGCTTTTACAGGGACAGGGGCAGAATAATGCCTAAACTGTAGCACTCTTCAGAACTCTGGCTTCTGGTAAAAGGCAAGAACTGAATTCTGAGAAGCTGGCAGCATCATTTCTCTGTTTTTTTTAAGCCCGCATCCTTTCTATGGATGTTCTGCTGCTAGTTTTAGCATCCCAGAAACCTCACAGATCTCAGGTCAAGCAACTGACTGGCTGCTCAGGAGCCATTTAAAATAGATTAATGGCAGTTGGCAAGCTGCTGCTTTCTTGTTCTCATGAGCCACAGTCAGATTTCTATAAATTGTAATTTGGTATGCTTATTTTAATTACTTTATGTTAGCAGTTGAGTTTTCTGTATTCCTCATCTGGAAAAGAACTGCTTCCAAAAACATACTTTTAGATTTTGTTTATAAGCTTCCCTTTATATCAGTTAACTTCAGCCACTTAATACTTTTCAAAACTGAGGTGGAAACAGTGTCTCTAAAAGATTGCCTGAAAGTCTGTCTAGTTTTAATCAGGAATAAATGGCACCTCTTCCTCCCCCAAATGCTCTGCTGGTGAATACTCTTGCATAAATTGAATTTGACCCTCAGGTCTTCAGTTGTCCCTAGATGTACTCTAAATCAGATCTCTAAGTCTCTCTCTTTTGGCTTCTGCAATCCTGAGGGATAATGATGTGTTTCTGTCAGCACATCTCATTATGACAGTTGATTATCAGCTGGAGTGAACAGAGACTATCCTGCAGAGTGGGTTGGAGCATGCAAGCAAGCATAGTTTGGAAAAGCACCACCATTTTTGTGGCTTCCCTTCTTCTGGAGAGAAGTGGCACCTTTAGTTCAGAATCAAGGTTCTAAATATATTCTTGGGTGAATGTAGGCCCTTTGTCTTTCTCCAGAATTCCTTTTATGGAACTATAATGTGCATTATTATACCATCGATCAGTAATGCTGAGGGGACTTGATGTCATATGATCCTGAGCCAAACTGAGGCTCATTGCTGGGTTTAGTGTTGGGGTGTCGTGGAGGCGTTTATTATTTAATGCCTTACTCACTTTTCTGAATACCTACGAGAGAATTTCTCTCATTTCAGTATTAGAAATAGTTGTACTCCTGAGCAACCAATTTACTTTTACCTGAAGAGTCCTGTAACTGACCATGTGTTCCTCTTCATATTGTTGGGTAGAAAACTTTGTGGACTTTTTGGGTGGGTGAGGGGATATTCATTTCACATCTGACACTTGGTTACTTTTCTCTTGCCTCATTTTGTCTTTATTTTAAATTATTTTCTCTTGTATCATAACATTTTGGTTAGCAGCCTCACCTAAACCTTTTTTTTCTTTTTAAGAATAAAACAAACTGGGTAGTAAATGATGTTGACCATTCTAATCATTTCTGATACTAGGTACCTTAATTTACAAAGGAATGTTATTATTTAGTGGAATTTTACTTGGTAATGCAATCAAATTTATAACTCTCCATTGTTGTGATTAGAAAAGCCTAAGGTCCAACTGAGGCTTCAGCATTTTTGTGTGTGTAGAAAGAAAATCTATATTACATACTGAACCAGCTCAGATTGTTTAAACTGAACACTGTAACTTCCCCAAAATGTGACTTACCTCTTTTCTATATGTAAATTGAATTAAAAGAATCCATCAATAAAAGTTGAAATCTTTATTCCCAATAAAACTTTCAGAGTAACATTTCTTTTGGGACTTACTTTTCTTTCTTTCTTTTTTTATAGATTTGCATAAGACTGACTCAAAATTGTTTCACAAAATATTGTAACCCAAACCTTTGTTAATTTAAAAAACATATAGTATCTTCAGTTTGAGTGAACATTCTTACTTAAATACAAACCTCCAAATAGCTAAAATTAATGTTTTTAACAATTTGGATAGTAGCTCTAAATATTTACAACGTTGTTTAGATTTCTAGTTGTTTTAGCAGTGACTGATATATTAACTGTAACTTTATTTCATGGTAAGCTTAAATATGAACCTAAAAGTAGTATTATTTCTCTCTCCAGAGATATAACTGCTATAAACATCACTGGAGTGATACAAGAAAACCTGTCATTTTAGAAGTAACTCCTGGAGGCTTTGACCAAATTAATCCTGCAACCAACAAAGTCCTCTGTTCCTATGACTATAGAAATATTGAAGGCTTTGTAGATCTCTCTGATTATCAAGGAGGGTTTTGTATACTTTACGGAGGATTTAGTAGATTGGTAAGTAGTATTTTTAAAAAGTCATTTAAAAAGAGGCATGACCATTTGAAGGAAAGCAGTGTTTTTACACTTAATTTTCTTTTTTTAAAAGATTTTATTTATTTATTTGAGAGAGAGAGAATGAGAGACAGACAGCACAAGAGGGAAGAGGGTCAGAGGGAGAAGCAGACTCCCTGCCGAGCAGGGAGCCCGATGCGGGACTTGATCCCGGGACTCCAGGATCATGACCTGAGC